TAAGCACGAAGTAAGCACACTGGTAGCCTGAGAGTGAGATGTTATTTTGCAAAGCACATCATAATGATCAATGATAGGGAGATTGGAATGCATGGGCATGACACGATGGAACTGCGGGCGGAATCGCTGGGGAAGGGAGAAGGGGAAAAAATCCAACAAGGGAGCGGAAGGTAGCAACTAAATGTTTGCCGGATCCTCGGCCTTTACGGCATCCACTATAGCCTGCAGGCCCTGTGGCAGTTCCACAGACAACAGCTGCTCAAAGTTATGGAAGTAGCCGAGGAAATTGCGCAGTAGCGGCGAAAGGCCTGTGTCCTCGAGCTGAGCTTGGAAGCCGCGGCCGGCATTCTGCCCATGACGCGCATTTTGAGCATTCAGGAAGAACCTTCGTATAGCCCGTCGAGTCTGAATCCGCAGACACACCGGTTGGTAGCTGCGATTTTCTGAGAAGGAGGGATGTTTGAGGAGGAGTGAAGAAGCTGGGAATAAGGGGACTGGCGGAGGCAACAACCGACGTTCTCTGGAATCTCCCGCTGAGTCATTTTGGTCAAACTGGTCGCTGCCCTCATTCTCATCCTCGTCAGTCTTGCCTTGCTTTCGACGTTGAATTTGGGGGGAGCTGGAGGTAGCCGGGCAGATACAGACACCGATCTCCGGCGGAGCTTCTGGCAGTGGGGTTCCAGACAGGGCCGCTCTCCATAATCCCTGGAAGTAGGACCAGCGTCGAAGCAGGCCAAGGGGATCCTAGAGGCAAGTAAATAACACACAATGATTTAAAAGGTAGACCATTCGCTGTGCGGTGTCACAGAACAAAGATGTTACACACGTGGGTAAAGTAAATACTGCATGCGTCCTCTGGACGCGAATATCTGAACACGCGGCAGCGGTGCAGTCGAAGCTCATTTGACGAGACCTGGCCAAACATTCAAATTCAATACAGCCCACAGTCTCACAAGAAGTGGGTCAGTCACGTGAGCCGCGAGTGATTTCATTCAAGTTTTATGTTATCCAATGTGAGTAACTCCTCAACACTTTTTTTGTGCGGAGACAGAGTTCAGTCAAGGCAACCAGCCAACGAAAATGCTGGTGAGTCGCGGGAATGAGCGAGCAACTAAGGCTCAAGCAAAACTCCAATCCGGATTAAAAACTTGTAGAAGACTGTAACCTTCACGCCGACAATCAAGCCTTCAGAACATCGGGAAGCATCATTGACCATTGAGGCAGTCGGCTAAGTGCCATATGAATGCTGTGTTCTGAAGATTGCATCAAATAAGCATTAAGATTCCTTGTGTACCAATGATCCTTACCTAATGTTGCCTCTAGGGATGGATTACAGTCCAAATCCCAATCGTCTGTCGAAACGATTTCCTTTGTCAGCGTTTGCAACTGCCTGCATTTTTTCACTTTACACTTCCAAAAATTTTCTTCTCTGCCTAGCCTATTAGCCAGCCCCCCCCCAAAACACTACAACAACCGTTTTTGCAGGACAAAATGCTGGGACCAGAGATGTATGAGTGGGCCTACATAAGATACATTTGCCTTGATTTTTTAATTGCTTCAGACTCTAACTGAAGGCTCGGTACTGCTCCGCCAGGTGGTGAACTTCACATAGATGTCAATTTTAAATTACTTGACAGCTTCGATGGAATTCTAAACTTCATCCGCTTCCAGTTGCGTTTTTGTTAAATATGACTAATTGATTTCAGGATAAATATAGGAAGAAGATATTGAACAGTGTAAAGAAGATGAACAGTACCCTTTCGTTGTATTCTTGCGTTTAAAAGGGCCTGAAGTGACACATTGGAAAAGTTGACTGTCAAAAGCCTCTTTCCTTAAATTTTCAAAGGCCTAAGTGACCATCGATATATTTTCCATTCGCCTACGTGGCACATCTCATTAAAGACCTAACATGACAGGGGTCTTTGTTGTCCCGCCATCTCAAACACCTGCCAAAGCGTACGATTCCTCGTTTCTTAAATTAATA